TTTTTACTTTAATTGTCATGTGCACATAAGTAATGTATAAACAAATAGGAATGTACACAAACAACAGTTTACCCAAATCAGTTACATTGAACTCAGCGGGAGTTTATGCAAAGACTGCATTCATCGCACATAGCGAGGATCTTGTTACACTTGTGCGGACGGTCAAAGACACCGCCAAAGACAGTCGCAGTGACTAACTGATCCACAACGTCAGTTTGTCAATGCGACTGACATATTTATATATTTATTGCAACCATATGTTGACTTAGCATATTTTAGAGTTATGTAGTTAGTTTGTAGGTATTAGTAGTATATTTGTATACATTCTAGTTCGTAAATAATTTGTAAGTGTTAGTGTAAGAATTTGGTATAAAAGAAAGTGAAATCAATAAAGTAAACCAATTGGTGATCAAACTCCAACCAATAACTTATTATTTGCTATACGCGGCATTTTTCAGCGCATGAAGCGCTAGACAGATTTGAAAACACCTCCAAAAAACTCATTATTTTGATTCCGTTTATAAAATAATAATATAATAAAAAATATATATATTTTTAAAAACTAATTTTATTTATAATATATGGATTTTCGGAGGTCTGTTAAATTGAACTCAAGTAAGTCTTAATAGTTTTTCAAAATATTCTGGCGGAAGTTTTAAAATGTAATAAATTTTATAATTCCGACGGAAAAGCCGTACCGTTTTTTTTTTTGTATTGAGAGTGATGTCCTAGTAGTAGGGCCTAGTGTATATATACTTTTTTTTTTTAATATGTAGTGAAATAAGTAACCTCAAGTGGGTTGAGAAAAAGTAATTCCGTGTTTTGCTGAAGTGGATTTTTTTTTATAAAATAAATTTGTTTTGCTAATTCTGTACAATATATTTGTTGTCTTGATTGAACTAAATAAGTTCGGAGATTTCTAGGTAAAAAGGTAATAACGCGATGTTTTTCACAAGTCTTTTTGAAGCTAACTTTTCGGGACTGAGAAAGTTTGTCAGGGACCTACACAAAAGTTAGTCGAACATTACAAAAACTCAGCCAAGATCTTTATTATTTTGCTGTGGTGTGTAGTGTCGTGTCGCGTTGCCTGTCGTACCTTTAGTCGAAGACTTTTGAAAAATCCGTATAGATCGTACATATCTGGAAATTACACACTTTGCTGTGAGCAGAGTTGGTTTTCCGCTAATGCCCACACATGTGTATGAGCAATGAGTGCACGTTGAATTTGAATGCGTTTCTGACGTGTATGTGAGCAGAGGAGCATGTGTGTGCAAATTGCACAAAGTTTGAAACTTGGATTTATAAGGTTTATGCTAAAGAGCAAATAATATTTTTATAAAAGAACAACAAAAATTAATTAGCACAAAAATTAATTGTTAAAGCTTATTTTTATTAATTGTGATGCGCTAATAGTTATGACACAGGGTATATAAGTGATGTTGTATTTTTGAAGACGTCGCTTTAGAGTAAAAAATATAAATTTTAATTTTTTTTTGCAACATTTTTGTAACATTTTTCTATTATTTCATATTACAGCGCCTGGTTCTACTGCAAGGCCTGCCACGAGGATATCAAAGACGAAACGCTAATCAAGAAGTGTAAATGCAAAAACTGTGAGTAAACTTTTCATAACTATGCCAAAAAACACATAATGAAAAATAATTTTAATACTGTTTTGAAAAAATAAAATTAATTAATTTACTTTAGTTTTATTTTCATATAAAAAAATGATTTCAAATATTTTCAATTATGTATTTTCAATTATTGCGTAAGAAGTTTTGAATTTGGTTTTTCAACTTTATTTCATCTATGGTAACTCAAATTACTTAAAGAAAAACGAAAATTATTGTTAAATCGTATTATTAATGACTTATTAAAATTGTTATTGCTGTGCAATTTTGAAACAGTGCAGCAACAAAATTCCTACTATTAGAAATGTATAATATTGAAAATTATTCTATACTTAGTCTTTCTAATGTTTAAGTTTATATATAAATCGAAATAGCATACAAATTTCCCTGGTTATTCAAACTCTAAGCGTTCCCTACAAAACTAATTATATTTAAGAATATTCATATGCACAAATAAGAAACAATCATATTTTTTTTTAATTATCTTTTCACACATCTCCACATATATTTATATTTTAAGTGTTTATTTTAATTTGTCTTCAAATTATTTAATAGCTATCACACACGGAAATCCTTAATCATCAATACCATACTACATAATTCTCTTTTCTATATATTTATATGTATGCAAAAAAGATATGAATATTAATTTGTTTATGTAATTACATATATATGTATATTAAAATGCTCTCTTTTCCAAATATATTTCCAATATTTTTTATGTATTGCCAATGTTGGCGTGGCGTGTTCCTGCCAAAAACATGACCTGTTCGATCTCTTTGGCCTACCACAAACAAAAACAAAAACCCATAACTGTTCAACACACCTACGTACAAACCGCTGAAAATTTTTAATTACATAACATATTTCACTTCACGCGTACACTTTCAAAAATCATAACCAACAAAAAAATATTTAAAATGTTTTTCGAAATTTTATCATTCGAAACAAACCAAAAAAAAAAACAAAAAACGCTTCTCCCGAACAGTGACGGTACAGCCAAGGACCAAATTTGATGATTTAGGTAAATTGTCTTCAAAACAGTATGCAAATATAATTATGTATGTGCAACTGAAAAAAAAAAACAACAAGCACACAATACAACACTTAAGAAAGCATTACACAAACAAATTTTAAATAAAAAAAATAAGAAAATGAGAATACAACAGAAAAATTCACCAAGAACAATCAAAATAATTTACACAAAGATTACACATATTTTAATCAAATAAAACCTCGCCCATATACAAATTGAGTTTACCTTAAATATAAAACCATAATAAACCTTGTGTTTTAAGTTTTCATTTAACAACAATTTTTTGCAAAACTTAAAATCGCCTTCCACCCATCCAGTATCCTCGACCACACTACTGATTTTTATATATTTACTGGTGGTTTCACCATAAGCGTCGTAATGTCTTAAATTTTTTTATGAAAAATGACGGTTCAAAAATTTTTAGCGAATCTTTAAAAATACAAATGGTTTTTGAGCCGACAAAAAACATACAACATTCATTCTGCGACTACTATGTAGAAATATTTTAACCGTAATTTTACATTAAACAAATTTCGACACCATGTGAATCCCGTTATTTAATTTTGTTTTATAACAAATAAATTACGGTAATTTTTTATTTTTTTATTTGTAATTCGTTTTTTATCTAGATTTGTGGTGTAAGTACCTCCAATAGTTTTTAATTTAACCGAAATTCATTTTAGTTTCTCAAAGAAAAAATAAGTAAATAATAAATTTAACTCATAACGCAATGAAATCAGAAAAAAGCTTTCTGCCCGAAAAAAATTTGGTTCTGATTTTTTTAATTTTTCTATTCACACAATTTGGAATTATTTTCAAATCGAAATTTTAAACTTGTATCCAGGTTTTTATTTGTGTATGTATGTCATATTTTTTTTTGTCAGTATCCTAATAATACCTATTTCATTTCCTTTAGATTAATTTCCTTTTTAAATTTTTTTTTTTTATCTCATTTTTTATTTAACTATCCCTTTTTCCACATCTTTTTAAATACACATTTTATTTTACCACTTAGTTTCTGTGTATTGCGCCTCTTCAAACCACCTAATGAATGGCTGCTTACTCAAATACCTTTTTAATACAAAAAAAAAAAAAAAACAAATATAAAAATATTTAAATTACAGTTTTTTAACTGATTTCTCACTTTTTTCTGTAAATATGTTTGCGTGCATTGCATTCTCTTCCCTAGACTTCCAAACCAAAAAACATAAAACTACAAATTTTTTTAAAAAAAATCCTTTAAAGTACCTACCTATTTAGATTTTGTTACACTTTTCACAAACTTCAAATTCACCAAATTTAAAATTTTGAACATTTTTAAATTAGTGTGAAATGTGTTTAACAAATTCGCACAGTCGTAGGCAAATAAATACATTTTTTACTCGTTTTTTATTATGTATAAGAGAACGTTCAATGAAATACCGATTTACAGTTTTGGTTATATAAACACCATTTACTTTTTGGGCCACTTCATTTTTACTTCAAGAATAGTCATGTAATTGTTACCGAAATTTCTCTTAGAGATTTAAATAAAAAAAAAACTTTTATCAGATTTCCTAAAACAAAAAAATTTTACTGAAACAAAGACATATGGAAATTATGGAAAAAAATCTTTTTTTATCTCAGGATGCACTAATTCATTACATATTTCATTTGTCAGTTAGGTTTACATTTCCATAAAATTATTTCTTTTGAAACAATTCTGCGCTAGAAACTTAGGTAAGAATAACTCTCTGAAAATTAAGTTCTTCATTATGTAAACTAAAAAATTACAATAAAAAATTGCAAATATACAAATATATTCAATTTGCATATTATGCACTTCTCCACTCACTTTTTCAACTCTAGCTGCAGACATAATCATTTTCGATTTTCTTCTTTAAAGTTAGCCACCTTCTAGCAAATACATATGTGCCGTCTCCTACAACTTCCATAAGGTTGTCAAAGGTTATTTTGTATTACTATTTTATATACAGGGTGTCTCAACCAAAGGATTGAATTTCCTTCTTTTCGCCATATACATATACACACCTTGCATAGTTTAGTTATACTAAAAACTACTATAAAAAATATAGCCACTGAAACAAAATTATTATCTTTTGATAATTATGTCATGGACATCATTCAAATATTGCCAAATATATTCGATTCCGTCCTGGAGTGAATTTTTCAAAAAATTATCAAAATTTTCTGATATCTTTCATTTTGTTTGGACACCCTGTATATAAGTGGTAACATTCACATATAGTTGACAAGTTTTAATATGAATAAAATCAAGATTTTATGCTTCATTACTCAGAAGGAATTGTAAGCTTTAAATTTCCGAAAAAAGTTTAATCGATTAATTAATGAAATTATGACAATTGGATTTCAATATACACTCTCTCAATTAACCATTTGCACATAAACGAACACACACATTTATGTTAAACGCGGAATGATAAAAAATTTACAATTCATCACAGGCACACATGTCATTTCTTTCCCTCTAATTTACTTTGAATATAAGAATTTTCCCCACTTTTACCTTCTTATATTAACTGTAAAATACCATTTTGCACATAAACGTAAGTTGCTTATTCCTTTCGTTAGCTCGTCAGTGTTCTGATTTCCTATGAACAGCGCATGGACTGGCACAAATTCAAATCGAAGACGATAAACGTATTTACTTACAAATATGTATGGAAAATATATTTACATTATATAAGAAATTTCAGCATTATATGTACATACGTACATATGTATACATATTTGTTTAAGTATGAGTCCCAAAAAGTTTCTGTTACATACTCGTATCGATGTACATACTATATATTCCCTCCAAATATGCATACACTCAGAAAAAAAAGCATTTCCTTAAAACAAGAAACCAGTTTCCTTATTTTAGAGTTACTGTTTTTTCCTTAAGGTTATGGAAAATTTACTCAATTTCCTTAATTCAAGTTCATGCTAAAAATAGTGCGTCATTAATTTGAGGAATTTTGAATTTTGTCAATACTGTTAAGCCAAAGTTAATTGCTTTTCTGGGAAGTTTCGGCTGTGACGTCGCGTGAAGACTACTGCTTCTGGCTCTGAGATCGCAGGTTCGAGTCCAGTTGGAGGTGGTTAGAGTAAAGTAAGTCAATTATTTCAATTCAGATTTCTAATTACAAATTATAAAATTAATTTCATATATGGAAAAACCTAAATACCATAAAAAATAATTGGGATAAATTTAAAAAATTACAATAAAAAAATAAATAAAAACAAAAAAGTTCCTTCAAAATGACATACTTATTTCTTTCACGGCAACTTAATTTTTCCTCAGTAGAAAGAAAATAGTACTGAAAACTAAAGAATTGTGTTTTCCTTAAACTGAGCGAAATCGTCGTTTACTCATATTAAGGCAGCCATATCATTGGAGCAATTTCAAGATAATATTGCCTTAGAATAATATACTTTTTTCCTAGCATCGCGGAATGTTTTTTCTGAGTGTATATATATAGTATATGTATATAATGTATGGTTACTTGATTGATTGATGATGTACTGCACAAAAAACATACATATACAAGTATATACATATTTATATTATTATTTATTTATGCATACATATCATTTGTATTTTGCGAAGTTAATTAGGAATCTAGATACAAGTTTAATTAAGTTATTAAATAGTACACTCCTACAGTTATCTGCAGGTATTTAATTAAATAAGTAAATACTCCAAAATATATTGATGATAAAAGGAGATTTGTAAATATTTAGAACGTGCAAACCTTTCGGGACAAACCAAGTCAAATCAACCAATGCATTGCAATGGTTGGAATTTGCCTTTTTTGGATTTGAATAATTTTTTCAGAACTTTTCTTTTCTACTAAAAATCAAAAATTTCACAATTTTGCAGATATTGGCAGTTTAAGTATGAATATCTAAAAAAATTTATAGTCAAAAAATTGTATTTAGGGCTATATAAAAAAATATATGGGGAATTATTTTTCAAAAGCTTTTCTTCAAAAATGGAGGGAAAAAAATTAAAATATTCAAATAAATTCATTTAAATCACTACTTTGGGGGTTCTTGGGACGCTGACAATATTTTTTATGTACTCAAAACATTTTTTCAAAACAATTCCGCATATATTAAAAAAAATCTAAATAAGTAAAGGGTAAAAAAATCTTTTTTAAACAAGCTCGACTTCTACCGGCAAAGTGTTTTGTGGAGTTATTTCCTTTCATGTAGGTAATAACAATTTCAAATATAAACCAAATTGGAATATAAATACGGGTTTTTGAAATATCTCGACTCCTGCGCCACCTAGCGGAGTTTGAAATTTCAAGTCTAGCTCATCGCAAAATTAGTTTTAAATTGATTGCAAGATTTAACCCAAATAAAGTTGCATACATACATATCATCGCTTAAAATACAAAACCGCGTATCGTCATTCTGCAAAACCGCGTAACTGACATTGGCTGCCAAAGATTGGATTTGCTCACACAAGCTCTTGGCTCAATCCTTATTCATTCGTCCTAAAATATACTAGCCAGAAATGCGATTGCTTTATAAAAAAAGAAAATTATTTTGAAATATGAGTGTTTTTACTCTGTAGAAAATAATTTATGCAACCTCACATACGCGGTTTTGTACTTTAAATGACGATATGTACATGCATACATATACTCAAAGCAAGCTAAATTATATTTACAAATTACAGAATTTCGAAATGAGAAAATTCGTAAAAGTAAAAAATTAAAAAATATGTATCTCAATTTTTGTATACAATACCTCTAACTAATCTTAGAAGACCCTGAACTGTTATAAGTGTTTATTTTTAAAGATACGAATTTTTTAAGTTTGAAAAACAAATTGTTTGTAAACTTTATATTAACAATAAATTTAAATTTGTATTATTATATATAAACAATAAATTTAAATTTGTTATACATAAAAAAATATTCAAAGTTCAAAAAAACACCTATTGCACCAAAAAAAGTGCCTTTAAACTTTTT